AAGCCAAAGTCAATGCATATGAATGGCTCAAGTTCCTAAAGCTTCAATATCTTCCAGGATTTCTCTTACCATGAAATGAAATGAGTTATTTATATTTTACTATTTGATGTGATCATTCTATTACCATGATGTAGTTAGACAAGAACTCTGTCAGTGATTTACAGTCATATGGTTCTCTTCATAAATCAGTGTAATACACAGTTTCATATGGATAGTCTTCAGTTTAGTCTCATTTATGAAGTATTCAGTTCAGCTAAGCCGTCAAAGTACTTCTGTCTAACCACCAAAATGAGTCATTACAGTGTTATAATTGCTCTTTTCTATTTATTTCTTTTTTGTTATTGCCATTAGGTCAATTGCTTACCTTCGGGCTTTCATAGCAATAGAGATACCCTTCCCTGCTGAAATCCTTTGCTGTCTACTCCACAGTGTATCACTGGCCAAAGGTAAACACTCAGCTGATTTAATCTTGAATTACTAAAGCAGCTTCCTGAAAATGATTCAATCGCTTAATTTTTGTGGACATTTTCATCAAAAACTTTTGGCCCCATTACTGGCTTGGCTTTGGGCAGGATTACAGCAGAAATTGCAACACTTCTGTGTTGTGCATGACAAGTAAGATTTTACAAGCCTATTCAATACTGTGGCCTTTTGCATACTTCAGAGATTGTGGTCTCTAAAGCAACTTACCAAATACCTTGCAATGCAAAAACTTGTTGAGCCAATGTAATATACATGTATACATGTATTATATATATGCATTCCATGTGTTGCAGTGAGTCAGCTTGAAAATCCAATGAAAAATCAGAAGTTGTATTTTAAAAAGAACATCTCAGTCATTCTGTGCTATTAAATTTTTAACCAGTACACATTATTGTTAAGCTCCAAAGACAAAAGATTCTTTTTATAACATGACATCTACTGATAATAATGGATGCTTTCTCCTTGAAAAATAATGTGGATTGAACCTGGTGTGAAACTATTAGCGAGTTGTCTTACTGTTCACAGTAGTTAGAAGAGATTATGTTAAATGTGGCATCATCCCCTGGAAAAATATACCAGGGAACATTTGGTGTTGTTCCAGCCCTGCATTAGCCCGGTTGAATATGCAGTTAGCCAGTATTATGCATAAGTCTAAAATAACTGTGCAAATTAGGTGCATAATTGCATCCATAAACTGTTGGAAAATCTGGCTTTTAAATTGCACACCATAAACAATAATAACCCACTGAGATGATTGCTGTCAGTTTACCTTACTTAAACTGTGTTTCTGTTTGTCCAGCATAAGAATCATGGGATGCTCTCTAAACTTAGCAGTGAGCAGACCTCAAATCAGCAATGAAAGCATTTGATCACAGAACATGTCACTGCTATAAGGAGTTGTGGGACCTACATCATAAAAGACTGTGTTGTGTTTGGTAGGCTGAGTCCATCAGCTGCTCTTAATAGTCTAGTTGCATTTTCTGGATGAGAAAGTTCCTGTATCATCTAGTTTTGGAAGCTGGGAGGATGTACAAAGAGAAGGATGCCTCTGCAGCTTTGTACCATGCAAACACAGGATTTGGGATAGATGAACTTTGGTTTGGAAGTTAAAGCTGGTTTTATGACCTGATGTTTTTTTACATTAGTTTTCATAACATTTCTGTTTCAGACTGACCTTGCAGTCATAAAAGTAATTCTTATTAAATTCAAATCACAGTTTTTTGTAATTTTTATTATTATCCATGTTTAGATATGGGATATTTTAATTTATTATTATTATTATCATCATCATCGGCATCATCTCACAAGCTTCAGAATCTGAATCTGACGTAGTGAGGACTGATCCCACTGGGATCCTGACTCCAACTCAGTGAAGAGTGACAACGAAATAAAAAGAATCAATGTAAAACTTAATTTTAATATCAGAAGAAACCCGATAGTGTTTGAGATAGATAGCCAGTAATTAATCCAGCCATTGATATCAAAGCCAGTTTGGAGGAAATTTGTCAGTACCTGACAAGGATAGCTCTGACCACCAAGAGGAGTGATAGAGGATAGAAATAACACTTAGGGCACACACCTCCAATTACTATGATATTGTCTATCTTTTAATAATGAACATCACAACAGGGAGGTATATAAGCTTTTAATGACACTCAGTGAATGAGTTGGCTTGCAAAACAGCTGCACATCCTTTTGTACTTTTAATGGCTTGACAGCATTTTGTCTAGAGGGCTGTGAAATTTTCCTAGCCCAGCCCGTTAATCTCAAAAGCAAATGTTGTTTTTCAGTGAGAAAGCTGCACAAACTGACTCTCCCTGCTTGTGCACTGTCACAGCACGAGCCAAGAGCTAAAGCAAAGTTTGTCAGAGCCCTGAAGCAAGGAGCAAGAGAGTCATCCATTAAAATGCATGAATCTCAATAGCTCTTGCAGCCAGAGTAATACTTCTGAAAAACACAGCCTTGGTCAGGTGTGGATCTAGTGGGGGAATTTACTGTTTGAAAGCTTGTGGACCCTCCATGAAATACCATCTAATACAAAATTCATGCTTAGGGTTTCAAGGCACTATTAAACTTGCATGATTGTTTAGCAACATACTTTAGATGCTCATTCACAGGTAACACTGGCTCTAGCACATTTACTGGAGAAGGTCAAAATAAGCAGCCCCCATTCCCAGTGAATGTTACAGTTCTCGATAGGCCTTAGAGATTTAAATACGTGCGTTGTTAGATCTGGGTTCCAAGTCCAAATAATGAATCACATGTATTAATGGGAAAGCCCATAATAGCATTGCCCTGGGTGTGTACAGAGTGATAGAAATTCTAATGTATTTTAAAATTAAACCTGACCTACAATCCTTCTCCAATCTCTGATCTGTATAAAAGCATTAATTGGACTTATTCAACTAATTACTTGTTATTAAACTGGTGTAGAGACTGTAAAGACTTGGACAAGCAATTATTTTCTATAGAAGACAACCTGAGTTTTGGCAATATTATCTGAACTAGGATAAAAGTTCTTAAACCTTCAGAAGCTGAGCCTGAGGCAGCCAAGCCTATGAAGCCAAATGATTATGCCAATGTTCTCATGGTTTTCATTTTATTATGTAGGATGAAATTATGCCAAAATGTTATGATACTGTATCAGAAGTTGCATGCATCTTCTCTGTACAAATGTAGAGGTTTCAGCAGCTCATTCTAACCTAAGCAGCAATAGGCAGAGATGCCCACATCTCATTTAGTAACACAAATGCTGAAAGACATGATAGCTGTTAAGAGTTCTAGAAGCAACAGATTTAATTTTTCTAGGGAAGGGAAAAGTTAGAAAAACACCCAGTGTTTCCAGCTTGTGATCAAGCCAGAAATTCTGATTTCTTATTTTTATATGTGCTCACTGTGAGTTGCTGACAGCACTCTCAGGCATGAAAAAAGTTACCAGTTTCAGTTTGTGTACAGATAATGGTCCTGCATATCTTTGGGAGGCTATGGCCACTCAGAGGGATGAGGACCAAGCCTTTGTTCTGTTTTGGATATAAGTGATGGTCCTTTTGTCAAGGACAGTAAGAAATAATGCTAAGTTTTCCCTTTACCACTTCCAAAAAGTGAAGTTTTGGAAACATGAAGGAAAGCCCACTGATCTACATGAGGTTTAAAAAGTGGAAGGACTTGGCTCTGATAAGATCAACACTATCCTGACTGTACTGTAACTGATAAATAATATACTTAACTGCACGGATACAATCTTGAAGTGTCCCAAAGCAAAATCTGTAGCTAATTTATCATGTGTAACACAACAAACATTTTTATAAGTTTTCCATCAAAAATTTTTGTTCCATAGAATCAGCATTTTTCAGTGGAAAACTTCACCCCAAAATTGTTCAGCTGCAGTGAGATACACCAGCTGCTTCTGGTGGTGATAAAACCTTGTATTTCTGTAGCTGCATCCCTCTAGGTACTCAGCTATTTCTCAAACAAACTCTCTGTGAGGTCAGAAAATGCTATTCTCATTTGGCGGCGAGGAAACTGAGTCACAAAGGGGCTAGGTGATTTTCCCAGGGGGAACAGGAAGTGTGCGAAAGGGGTAGGAACAAATCCCAGCTTCCCAAGCTCATTAACCTTGCTCTTCAAATGTAATGACTTCTTACTAAGTCACCTGAAAACAACTTCTGCCTCTCTAAGTTGTACCTTTGCTGTATGTGGGGACCCACGCGGTTCTGAATTTTGAAAAGCTTTGGAGCTCTCTGGCGGGAGTTTTAAATTATTTAAAAGTATAAAAATGAGGACATTTAGAAGGTGAAAACATGGTGGGGTTTTTTGTTGTGTTTTTTTTTGGTGGTGTTTTTTTTTCAGTCTCTCTCTCCCTTTTTCCATCTAGTGTCTAACAAGTTCCAAATGTTCCGGAGCGTCTATTTTTGTTGAGTTTTGGATTGAAAGCGTTGCTCTTGTACACTGCTACAGTAAAGTGTTTACACAGAAAACAGTCTAGTCTGGAAAAGTAACAATTTGTTCACAGGGTCATGTAACATATTTGCCCAAATGAGCTCTTGGGAGTGAGAACAACCAATCCCTCTTCTCTCTGCAATGAATTTGCAATCTCTGATTTCTCTTTTCACCCATGAAATTTTCATTCTGCTCCCAGTGCCAACTATAGTCTATCCTGCTATTAAGATCAACAGCAGTAAGGGGAAAATAAACTCCTTTTAGTCTGTAAGGCTTTTTGAGAGCAATGCAAAGCAAACAGCTCATTATGCTCGCATGTCAGCATCTTGAGAGAATTGCTGGAAGCCCAGGGAAAGAAGGAAGAATAAAAATCCCATCAGAAAAATATTCTTTGCTCTGTATAATTACTCTTTGCAAGTCCTGATTTTTGACTTCTTTATTAAAGGGAATGAGGAGTGTACATGCAGAGCTGTATGTGGTTTCCCTGTTTGTGCATCCAAGGTATGACACAATAAGGACAAATATCCGGAGGCAGGTTCAGAGACATTGAGTCTAGATCTTTAATTAATAGCTGGAGATCAATTACATAATACCTGAGCAAATAGACACGTGCATTTATTATCTGAAAACAAGAACTCTGCAATTATGGTCATAAAGAAAATGTCAGAAAACAAGAAGCAACAAATACCCATTGTGGAATTAATAAGAACAGTAGTTCCCCTCCAGTGGTCACTGAGTAAGCAAACATTCTGGTTAAATAAACTGAAATGGAGCATATCTGGGCAACACACTTATGTGTTGGGTCAAAGCAGAGGTTAAATAAAAATTTGTTTTAAAAAGACCCCAAAGAACACCATATGACTCTGTACCCCATGCACCACATGTTGCTAAAGGAGTGAAGAGGAGTATTGGCTACTTTCATGAATACGCTGTGTGACTTTGAAGTGGAGCTGTATGGAAAGCAGGGAGCATTCGTGTTTACCCCAGGCTCCTAGCAACTTCCCTGCTCACAAGTAGTATTTGGCACTGAGGATGTATCGGCACTCGGCAGCCAAACACAACCCCTTGCCAACACCATGGTGACGGGCTGACCCTTTCAGAACACATCAGCATTAGGATTTCAAAAAGGGCATATTTTCAAGGTCGATGTTTATTTCATGTAAACCAGCCACCTGAGGTTTCTGAGGTGCTGATCCTTAATTGGTCATTACAATAAAAACATAGGAGTAATTTCATATTAGACTGATGCCTCAGCATGTAATCCCAATTTAGGTCACTTCATGACCAATGGATTTTTGCAGCTTCAACTTCATACTTGCATGTCTACTACATAGTTATATGCATCCAGCCACTTCAGAGTAATTATTGTCGCTACCTTTTAATAAATAACACAAACCAATCCCTCGCAGTTGAGTGTGGTTGGAAAGATTTATAGCTCATATTCTCACAGCTCTATGGTGATTAATGCAGACAGTGATTTTGGGGGAATAAAAGTAACCCTGTGTACTCAGGTGAGAAGGAGCCACATTACTGACTCTAGGTTCCCCCAGCAGGTAAAAGCAGGAAATACTCACAAAAGGAAAAGAAACAGGGGTTTGTCGCTATAAAAAAGCCTCTGACTAATCTAAAGACGAGAATCTATAGAGGCTGAAGGGAATCCATCTGAACTCAGAAGTGCTAACACAAGTGATCAGCTCTGAAAGGAGTTTTGCTTTATGCAGATTTCCCTCCAGATTATATATGAAGATGTCTTGCAGTTTTACAGACCCGGTTTGAATCTCTCGTAACTCCTTCTGCCACATCTCTTTATATTTCCAATATACTTAACTAATCCAATAATTAACCATAAAAATAAATTACTTGTATAGATTATGTAACAATAACAAGGTAGCATGAGTCACTCTTCTTTGTTCTTACTCACTAGTGAGCAACAACATGGGCTCATTAAGTAAGTACCAGAAGTTCAATATGGAGAAAACTCAGATCTCAAGGCTAGATAATTTGGCCTCTATTTGTTTGCCTTTGTTCTCTTTTGTTTCCAGATTAAAAGGGCACCATGTACTTTTAGTTTCTTCAGGTAAAAAAAGACACCAGGGAGCTGTTCCTTGACAAAGGACCAGAGATGGCTTGGAGCCTACACAATAGTTGCTTGCCTTGCACTTACAGTTTGATTTGGATGGACATAGCAGGAATTTAATTTGACCCAGGAGAATTAGGAAATGGACCCCACTGACATGGAGACAAGGAAAAACTATGTCACCATTGCAACAAACATCCAAACATTTCATGAGCAATCAGAGTCTTATTCTGGAAAAGGCACAATCTAAGTCACAAAATTACCAACAAATGTAATGAACACTCCCAGGTCTGAGCAGCTTGTGTCTACTTGGTACCTTTGTAGAATAGCACAGACCTTGGAGATCCCTATCCCTACTCACACGCAATCCTGTATAGAGGCTGATAGAAATAGCTGCACGGACATTCAGATAGCTGATCCTTCTGTTGATTGAGAGACAGATGATTTGATCTCTTGAAGTGCTTCCAAGCCCTTGTGGGGAACAACTATCCTGTTTATAGATGAACAAAAGATTGCACAGCCTCAGGAAGACCCTGAACCACACAAAGCCTAGGAGATTTCTGGCCGTGGGTGAACGTCAGTGTGGGTATTTCTCCATCCTAGAGCAGAATGGAATTTGGGCCATGGGGCTGCAGTTTGGCACTGTGGAGTTCAGCAGCTATAATCCTATCTCTTCTGTCCCTTTCCTCTTTCCCATTCTGTTGGTATCACCTTCCTCACTTGTGCCAGCACAGGTATTTCTGGACCTGGCCATTGAACCACACCAGGGAATTTACTTGATTTAGGGGAAAACTGCAAAAAAGTACCAGTTTATTTATTTCAGCCAAGTATTTTCAGTTACTTGAGAGACATAACTGAGAGAGCAGCAGGGCAAAGGGATGAGTGACTGAAGGCAGGGAATGAGAAGAAAGGATGTCTTAAGCCAGGGCTTCCACTCAGCTCTTTTTTTTGCAAATACATGGCCTGAGGAACCTTAGTGGGGGTTGATGTTCTAAACATTCCCAGTAAACCTGGCTGTGATTTTAGTTCTGTTTATGTTTGTCTACCTTCAGATGGTACTACCTGAACTGTCTCTGAGAACCAGCTTGTTAAAGCATGAAGACCATTTCAAAATGAAAATTCCCAACAAGATACATACCAGCAAGCTTTTCCTGATTTAAAATAATCTAATGTAAAAAAAACCCAAACAACCCAACAAACCCAATAAGCAAAAAAGCACACAAATAAGGAAATGTTACAGTTTCACTTTCAACCAAAGTCAGAATTTGTTCTTATGTAGAGATGGGCCAACTGGATGATTTTCAGATTAGGCATCTGGATCAGCTTTTGGTAAAGCTTTCAAAGATAGCTTCATATTCACTGAAAATTCAGTAAGCAGTTCTTAGGACAGTTCGTCATCCAGACAGCAGAAATCTCATAAAGTTAGTTGATCACATGGGTTTTTCACCACTAGGGGAGTCTGATTTTCAGACGTGATTTAATATTGTCTATTAAAATCATGTCATTTGAAGACATCTTCATTTAATCATCTAGAAATTGGAGCGCCCAAGGTTATTAGTCATACTGAAAATGCTTGTGCTTTTAGCTGATTTGAACCTGAGTTTGATTATAAAGATTAGAGCTTGAGACAGGTTATCAGAGGCATGTTCCTAACTCTGATTTCTTTTACGTTTATTTCATCTTTAGTTCCAACTCTGTAAAATCGCAGTTCTCTGAATCAGAATTACTATATATTTTATGTAAATGAAATGACATTGTGGTGCCAATTGGCTCTTGAGTCAAACTAACTAGCAAAGAATTTAATTATATCCATTATTAAATGTTTGCGTTCCACCGATCCAACTTCTTAAAAACAACAATGATGAGTTTACAGATTCCTATTACCATCTGTTGCACTCTGTCCAAGTCTGGCAGGGGGTGGAAACCTTGCCGAATTAAAAATATTGCTATTTAAAGCCTTCCATGTATTCATTTCTTTAGACATGTGAACTCACTCAGTGGCAGAGCCAGGCTTATGGTTTCTGTAACTTTGCTGGCTGCTGAACTTGGAGCCATTTTAAACAACACAGTGGATTCTCACAAAATTTATTTTTATTTTAAGTTATATCCCTCAACCACAGACCTAAATGGATGGATCTTTTTGTTTGGGTTTTTTTTTTTTCCAAGGCTTTTTCAAGCAGAATTGCAAGGAATTAAGAGGCGGGAAGAGGTGACTTGCCAGAGTTTCTGGCTTCACTGCAGTCTAGAGTTGTTGCCTGGGCGATTGTGTTCATGGGAGGTCTTTAACTGGCAAAGCTGCCTGCTCAGTTTCACAGGCGCCACAGCTACTTCATTATTTCATCAAAGTTCATTATGTTGGGGAGGGTACTACCAATAAAACAAGATTACAAGTGTCTCCAACGAGCCCTTAAAGACATAATTCCTAGTTTTACCTTTTGCCACATCCCTGTCTGTGGTCCTATAATGCACAGAGAGATTTGCACCTATGATATGGACTATCCCACAGCTTAATTGAACTGAAAAACTCCTGGAGAATTTGATTCAATTTGTCTTGCGACAGAACCTTCTTTTGTTTTCTGTGGAGACGGAGTTCTTCATCTGCAAAAGAAATCAGAACAGTTTAATCACATGTTTTCAAGGAGGTAGGAGTATATGGGAGAAAAGAAATTAAGCCTCACCTAGATCTAGGGCAAGACTGATCTATATTAAGCGCTGATCGATGGTATTTAATGCTCAAAGAAATTCCAGGGAGTACTGAACCCAATTCAAGAGGAAATCAGCAATCATGGGCCATTTATGGCTCTGTGCTCAGTGAATCACTTCTCCATTTTTTGCTTTATGAACTGCCAAGATCCAGTCCTGACACTCCTAGCATTTTTCTGCTTTTATGCTTGCTTGACCCAAGTTCATAATATATTTGGTCTTGATGTAAAATTATGTAAATCCAAACAAAAAGAAAACCAGATTCAGTGTGGGGCAGTATTTTTGTGCCTTACTATCATGCCCACACAAGTTTAAAATAACTACTACTTTCTAGCTAACAGCAGGTGGGAGAACATGGTATTCTATTTCTGGCAGAAAAAGACGGAAAAGAAAAAGATGGAACAGAACCACCATTAAAACCTCCATTTACTTCCATTTACTTCTTGCTGGGTTTTGCCTGCTGTGGATATCTAGGGTCAGATGACTACTTTAAATTCCTCTCTGTTCACAGATATGAATACTCCAAAGAATATACTGAAATATTTGCTTCCCTGATAACAACATATACATGAGCTATTTGTTTTGGAAGTTGGTCACCATATCATTTATTTAAAGAAAAGGTTTTTAGACAAACTTTAAACTGAAAAGTCAAGTTTTAAAACGTCATTGTTTTTCTAGCTCATATTTTTAAGAGAAGTTGACATTTTAATACACAAAATAATGAGAAACGATGGACAACCTGATTACACTGGACTTATTCTTTTCCAAGGTATCTCTGTGTTTGTATGGAACTGGACCTCGCATCAGTGGGTTGACTCCTAGGCTTCACTGGCAAGGCTAAAATCATGATTTTGTCTATTTCATGAGTTAGGTGATATTTTATCTAGACCAAGGTGTGTCAGACAAATCAGGTCACATCATCATAATAGCATTTTTTTTATCTCAGCTTTCAACACTACCTCCTAGAATTATGTAGAACAATAATGCATAAACAAAAAACAATTTTAAATGTCACTCTCTGAAAAAATCCCCAATAATTTATTAATCCAGATTGTGTTGTGTTTATAAATTGCACATCCACAGTGAATTTTTATGCGAAGTCCAGTTTACTGCAGTAGGACTGTGCATCTATTCTAGACAAATACATGTTTTTTTTTACACAGTCTTTCTTTCTTCTTCCAGTGCCTCAGACTCTCCAAGCCTTTCTGACAGCTCTGAACAGTCATTTGGTGGACAATATCAGACAAATTATATATATCAGGAAACACAGATAAATCTCTGCCCTTTAGGTCTCATAGTCTATGATGTGCTTAAAGAAAGCCAAGATCTCATGAGCACGCTGGAAAATAAGATGCACCAGCAGTTCCAAGAAGGCACATTGGTTGTGAATGCAAAGGCATGTATCTTTCTCTGAATGACTGGGTTAACCACAGCTATTTCTGATTTCATTCTCAGTGTTGCATGTCCAGGCAATGAGACGAAGAAGTGACAGAGAGGGAGCTGCAGACTGCTCCAGTGAATCCACCAGCTACAGGTATTGTTCAGGTGAAAATTAAAATTGGCATAAATTCCTGAGGCAGTGAATCACTGTCTTTGTGGGCTTCACTGTCTGCTTTGAATCATTTGTTTACTAATATTTAAAGCACATTGGTATTCTCCCTTATTAAAAGTGTTTACTACAGGAATGCTATTACCCCCGGAGTCTTAACAATGTGCATGCACCTTGTTCTAGCGGGCAGGCAGCTGTCACTATTACCCATCTGCCAGGGAGTGGAGATAGGCCAAAGATACAATAACATAGAGGTCAGCTGGAAACATGAAAGTTGAGCTGGCCTCACTCTGCCCTGTTTTACCCTGAAACATGGCCTTCCCAAGGTGTGGTAAGACAGGTTTTGCCCAAAGAGTCTTACGAATACTTTTATCCTATACTCTGCCACTGCTGTTGAGTGGAGCACATGGGTGAAGTTCACCAGCTGTTCACCTTATCACTCATTACGCTTAGTGTTAAACAATAAATCTCATTTGACATGCTGTACCTATGAGGAAGAGAGAATTGGAAACTGTGGTACTGGATCAGCTGTTTTGAAAGGGTAAGGTTGGTTTTAGCCCATTTTATACCTCCTCTCTTCCCTTGAATTCAGGGAGAAAGTGAATAGAGAAGTTTATTTCCCAGAATCTGCCCCTCAAAACAGTATGTGAGCTATGTGACTTCAGGAGTCTGTGTAGAGAAGATGACACCTCCATACCACACATACTGAAAAACTATGCGTGTACCTTAAAATCCAAGTACGGGACTGCCTGATTTCCCAAAGTGAGGGCTCTATTTTCTAAATATCTTGGCATTACTCCTCTGTTCATTACTGTACGATCATTTCTCACTCTGTTTTCTCAATGTATTTTTTTCACAGACTATAATTATTACAGCCCAGCTGCTTCTTTTTCATTTTGATCCTTTGTAAACCTAGTCATTATGCTGCCTCAGACTGGCTTCCCAAAATGTCAAGATTAAAATGGGGCATGAAGGCTTATGCAAGAGTGAGTCAGTGGAGCAATTTGAACCAATAAATATCAAAGCAGTCTCTAAGAAGTAAGCAATTCATTTGATACCACATCTTTCAACAAGTCTTTAGAGGATTTTCCTCTGCAGGGTTACACCCTGATATTCACGTCTTGATCTCTCCACTCTGCAGAAGTCATAGTTTGCCTCATTAATGTGATGCTCTGTCAGGCAAGCATTTCTGTCTGCAAAACACATCAGATTACCCTCCATTCTTAGTGCTCAGTGATTTGCAGTGCTATCTGCTATCAAAATAAATATGCCAGAGCCCTGGCTTGTACTACTGTCTCTGCAATTAGTGATATTTTATTAGTTAATTAATTAGTTAATGTCAGACACTGGCCAAGAAATAACGAATGTGCCAATATTCATTTTTTATGTCACTGTAGGTAAATGAGTTGTCAAGACAAAAACTTTGATATAAAACTGCCAGTATGACTTAGTGAGTATAATAGGGTACAAAAACAATGAGCCTGTTTCAGAGATATGTCCTGCTGTTCCTGCTTTTTTCTCACTGCTTTCAATCTGATGAGTGTAACAACTCTTGCCTTTGATTTTTTGCCATGGACTCCTGCACCATTGTCTTTTTCTCTTACATTGTTCCATTTTCTTGCCAAGGCTGTGTTTTACTTTACTCCTATCCAGGGACCATTCAATAAAAGCTAAGACCCCCTGAAGCAAAATTGCAGTACTGGAAAATTCCAGCTCTTAAGAGTTACTCAAAATCTGAATTTCTGAAATGGCTTAAATGCAACCTATTGGCTCAGGATGAGGATAGAAAAATATTGTTTTATATCTGTTTATCAATAAACAGATCATTCACTCAGTACAAGGTGTGCCCTCTGCTTCATTTGCATGTTACATTCATTCACCTCACCTGTTTTATTCTGTGGTTTACAGGCTTTTACTGCCTTGTATGGTTTTGCATGTCCATGACTGCTCCTCTATATCTTGAGCTTGTTTCAAAGAGAACACATTTTAGTGACCACTCCTAATTTCTCCCTGATTTAATTAACTGACAATGTAAAACAGTATGAATTGTTTCCTGCTTGCACTTGGATTATATGCAAGCAAATTACTCTAGATACACATGAGGTATTTTACAATCAAAAGCAAGAATTATCCATGAGAAAATCTATTTCCTCAAGTGGAAGTGTTTGAGAATTTCTGATACAAGATCTGTTTTGCAATATGTATGCTGTGATTTATCCCATCCAACAGTATCACACATTACATTTAAATAGCTTTTGCCCAAGCATTTTTTTAAATAAAAATTTTACCTATTATTGGGAATTGTTGCAGTGTTTTCCATACCAAAATCTCATTTAATACTTTTTTTATATCTTGCTTTCTAAGGAAAGAAGCTCATTGTTTCTCTTCACATGCATGTGTTTCTCTCTGCATTTCTACTAATTGTTGAACGCATGAATTAATTTCAACTATATTTTACAGAAGGGTGGAAGTCTGAAAGGTACTGACCTTCAACAAGTCCTGAGAAAATGAACAACAAGGAAGAGAAGGGTCCTTGTAAATGCTTCTGCAGAGAGAAAAAATGTCAATGTGAGTGTACACATTTATTAGACCTTAGGTCCCCATTCCTGGAAAATTAATTTTTAATTTCATGCTTAGAAGACTTTTTGGTTAAAAAATATTCTAACACCATGAGGGCTTAGATTTCATTTAGGGTAAAAGAATGTTCAATATTGTTCAAAATTAAAGGTTGACAAAGCCTTACAACTTGGCTAGTACTGAATAACCCCTGGAAGCCAGAACATGACAAGTGTCTTAAAGACATCAATGAAGCGCAACCATCGAAACACTGAATTCTTTTCTCATTCCTTGTTCACTGTGTACCTCACATCCCACCCAGTAATTAGTACTGGCAGCTTCATATTGGTGCCTTTGTTTTTGCTCTTTAACTATGATGATATCATAAAAAGCATATACATTTCATTCTCTTTATTTTTTTGTTTGGCTCTGGGCCTGTAAGTACTAATACAAAATCAGTAATTGTACAGTAACAAGCCAAGGGCTTTGAAATGTACTTAGTAATAAAAAAGTATTCTTTTTCTTTTTTAAAGACATTCAAGCGGAAAGAAATACGATAAACTGATGTGGATTTCTTTGGGCAGAGAGAAGTTTCCACAGTTCTGATAACAGTTTCCTGACTTTGCAGAAAATTGCAGGGGCAGAACTAATGTTGCTGCATTTTAGGTAAACAAATCACTTCCAGTGAAGTTTAGTGAAATCTCACCTGAGCTGTTCTGACTAAGTAGAATGGACATTTACTCTGCTCAGAAACCTTGTAGTTTTTTGATAAACTGAAATCAGGTAGTTT